ATGTTCTATACAAATTACTTTGATTGTACTCATTATAGACTGTATCTTCAATCCTAAAGATGGAAATGTCTGTTCTGATGTTAACTAATGTAGTTCCTTTGTAGTACTCAATACTAAACCTGTATCTCTTCCTGTACTGAATAGAATCAACTGTGTATGTGTATGTCTGTGTCTTTCTATCACTGTCAATGTATCTCCATGCCTGATACTTATTTTGAAGCAGTATCATCTTATCCTCAATGTATATGTACTTTGCTTTGCTCAATGTACTAATGTCTGTCTTCTGATACATAATGTAGCCTTCTAACTTAATAGAATACCTGTGTGAATTGTTTAGATTGAAATATTTCTTAGTATCCAAGAATAGTCATAGTTTATAGTCTAGTAATGCTTAATAGATTGTCCTGCTTGTACAGTTTACTCTTTACATTGTCTTATAAACTATAATACTATCTGGCTGGTTATATTCTGATCTTCTAACATTCTCAGGTCCTTTCCTAATGTCCTAGTACACATTCCTGTTGTCTGTGAACAGCCTATATTTCTTAAGAGTGTTGTTTTAATTTGTGGCTCTAAGAATTAGTAGTAGTTTCTCTGAAATGTCCATATATACATTGCCTTGTGCCTGTAGCATCTTAGAATCCTTGAAACAATGGTTGTATATGTGTTTCCTAGTCCTTTCCATGTGTCATACATATCTGTAGTCTTGTAGAATCCTTTCTACACTGTATGCCTGTGCTTTCAAGCATAAAATGTCATTGTGTGCTTCATACAGTTGTCTGTGCCTTAATATAGCTATCTAGTACTGTTTCATACAGTACTGAATGTTTACTGTACTATTCCTTAGTCCTGTAGTCCTATAGAGTCTCAAATATACTGAATTTGCCCTTTCAAATGTGTTGTTTGCATGCCTGAACTTGTGTTCTGTTGTGGAACTCTCTTGTTCCATTACTGAATCCTCAGTATTGTCTTCACAAAGTATCCAAATTGATAAAACATGTATATTGCTGCTAGATATATAAGAATCTGTGTCATAGTCCATAATTGACTCTAATTCTATGTAGTTCTCACTGTCCAAGTTGTCTGCTAACTTATCTAAAGTGGTATAACTAATACTGACATTACTAGATAATAAACTATCATCCTACACATTGTTCAATCTGATTGTATTACAAGTAGGACAATTCCTGGCTAAGTGGTCATCTTGTTTACAAATGAAACATAGTCCTTTCACTCTCATTTCATCCAATTTCGATTGGGAATAATGTTTGAAACCTGTAGCATATGTCCTGTGATTGTTTTCTGTCTTACTTTCATACTAGTCATTGTTCCTTGATGGATAATACAATTGCCTGGCCTTTCCTTTGGCATTTGTGCTGCTTGTATGTATAGTATCCAGACTAGAGTCACTGTGATCTGAATCATTGCTTTCACTATCCTGTAGAGTGAATTGATTGTTTCTTGAATTATCAGAGCTGTCTGTATGCAAATAATCACTCTGAGAATCATTACTACATCCTTACAGATGGAATTGTTGTCTGGAATCTATGTGCCATTTGATTCCTATGGATTCATTTACTTTCTTAATGCTTTTGAGCCTATCCTTGAAGATTGAGTAGTTTACAGTGTTTGGATTCAAGCAATCTAATCATAATTGCCTCTGGTACTTGGAATTCAATCCATACCATGCCTGTCTAGTTAAATTTTGCTGAGAAATGTTTCCTAGATTTGTAGCTTTCATCTCTAGATTGTACAAATAATCCTGAACATTCCTATTACCTTGTTTTAAAGTATTGAACTCTTTCCACAGTATTTCAGCAAAGTTGGAAGGGAAACAAAAGTCTATTAGTCCTCTAAAGAACTGAGCAAGTGTCCATCTATACTCATAGTTTACAATCTTTTGCAAATAGAAATTCATTACTTTTCCCTTAATAAAACCTAGCATTATCCCTACTTGGCTCTTAGGGAAGTGATGAAGTCCTGATTGTTTCATGTACTGATTGACTTCAATAACAAACTTTATATACTTCTACAAGTCTGGTTCACCTGAGTATACTGTAGGAGCTATTGGTTCTGTACTACACATCTGTATCTTCAATTTAAGGAGTTCTTTGTTCTGTTTCTTCCTCAAGCATTTCTTACACTTCTTAGTAGGCTCTGTATCACTCAAATCAATGTCTGATAGTTTGAATAAAGCATTACTTTGATTGTTGTCATTAGATGAAGAGGAATCCGAATTATTACTGTCTGGGTCTGATCCTAGGTTGAAATTTCCCTTTCTCTGTATCCTAGAGCTCTGTATCACTCTGTATGTGTAGCTATTCTTTACTAGGCTCTCTGAAGGTCTTACTGATGCAAATCTGCCTTTCTGAACATTATTCAGTACTTTGTTATGCCTGTGTCCATTGTTTGTTCTTAAACTAATGCTAGAGCTATTCTTGTGCTTACTACACTTGATATGTAGCTTTAAACTGTGTAGTTTACTATACTCTGAATCAATATTGTTCTCACTAATACTACTAGTGTATGCCTTGCCTGGGACTGCTTTCAATTGTAAAGTATTACTATAGGATTGTTTGTTTCTTTTATTTTTGTAAGGGATACTCTGATGTTCTGAAAAACTTGGTATTTCTATTTGAGACTGTATATATCCAGGTATTTTGCTTTCTCTCTTATTCCTGGACCTGGCTAGGGTGTTGTATCCATTGTAGTACTCCTGTACATTGCTCCTATGTAATGTGTAGTCAATATCTGCCATGTATAAGGTTAAACACTTGATTTTGTAGGTGTATACTTGGTTTTCACCCTCTGAATCAAGTACTGATCCTTATAGTTCTAATATGTGTTTGCTTTTACTATCCTCAAAGTACTGTTCTGTAAATACAATGTCTGTTTTGCTTAGATAGTCTGAATTGATTTCACAATTGTATTGAATGTCTGACAGTTCTGGTTTTTGTTCTGTTCCTTGTACTTTGTGTTTTCCTTTTGCTTTGCACTTTCCTTTTGCTTTCTACAAATGTGATAGTTTGTCTAGACTCTTGAGTGTTTCTTCTACACTCTTAGATTAATAGTTCTGATCTCTATTGTCTGTAGGTACTATAACATGTCTGGTGTTTGTTCTGTAGCCTACCTGAAGTGTTTCACACTTTTCTGTTACTATACTATCAAGTCTACTCTTGTTTGATGAAGGAGTTGCTTTCTCCTCTTCCTAGTACATTCTATCAAACTTGTACATTCTCTTATTCAAATCTTTAATGTCTATCAAACTGTGGAATGGGCTAACATGTCCTATGTCTATCTTAATTGCTCTGGCTCTTGTAATGTGTCTGAAGGTCTTACTTGCCTTCTAGAAATCTTGTTCCTTATCAATTCTCTATAGTTTTGATACCTGACTCTTCTGGCCTTGTCTGTTACTCTTGTTCTTTGAGTCCTGGCTGCTTTCTTTACTGCCTAAAAGGGTCTTAGGTGTCTCATTACCCTCTACATTACTGTTGTCAATGTGTTTCCATTCTGAAGTAAGTACACTCACTAGATACTTATTCATACTCTTACTGATACTAACTATATGTATAATGTACTCCTTGTATTGGCTTGCAAATTCCTTGATGCTTGCTATTAGCTCTCTATGTTGACTTGGTGAATCCTCAAACCAAATCACCTGTCCTCTATTGAGTGAATCCTCAAACTTGGTAGTCTTAAATTAATAGAGTGAATCCTCAAGCTTAATTGCCTGTACTTAGTGAGCTGAATCCTCAAACTTGACCTTCTGTACTCAATTGAATGAATCCTCTGGAGACCATTTTTATTGATTAGAACCGCATGCAAAGGCCGTCAATTGTTCTGCTAGCCAGTGCTTGATGACTACACCAGATTTGGCTATTCCAGGCCTTGTGTAAGGATTTGATTTACTGGTTCGTATTTTATTATCACTACATTGCTGATTGCGTCAGATCATTGCACAGTAGGACCCACAAGCACATATATTCTCATTGTAGTTAGTTACACTTCCTCCTCATGTATCTACACGTGTACTACCCTATAAAAGACAGTATTGATTGCTGAGTAAAGGGGATTCTTTTCCCCTGACCCCTCAATCGAGTACTAGGTTATCCCAGTCAGTAGTTGAGTGAACTAAGAGTAATTAGAATTCTCTTGTAAGGAACAGTGAGTTTCCTTACATATTTTTGACTGTACCCACCTAGCACTGAAACCCCTTGCTGGATGCTGAGGAACTGAAGGGTCTGATCAACCCTAGGTCTCCCTTGTTGTCTAGTACCCCTCAGGAATTTTTTGTGAGTAAAGTTACAATTTTTGAGTAGAAACAGAGACTACTTACTGGATTGGCCCCTAGTAGGTTCACAATGCTTCAGAACACTACAGAACACTTCTGGAACACATTAGCACATATTAATATGAACCAGTGCTGGATATGCTAGAGGTTTGCATTGATCAGATAGGTTGAGAACCAGGCATCTGTGATGGTGAAAAGGAACAAACAGGTGCACATCAAGTTTACAGGCAATGGACAACAAGATTATCCATTAGATATTGATTACAATGTGGCTGCTGAGCCTTGACAGACAATTCCCAGAGGGTACCCAAGTCTGGATATCAATACTAACATACTAGAATGTAAGTCCTTATCCCTCATAGGCTGGAGGCAACCTAATGAACCTATACTAGGTGATAAGTCCTTGTCTACACAAGGCTGGAGGCACCCTAATGAACTACTACATACTAGTAACATAGAATTAAGGCATGTAACTGTACCAGCACATATAGTTAGACAAACACACACTGTAGAGTAGACACTAGCAAGTACTGAACTTACTAGGCTTGTAGGAATAGTAAATAGCAGTACAAAGAGTAGAAACACTCAGACAATTGTTCTTAAGGATTCAGACAGTCGAGTTCAGGATGAACAGACGATTAGATTTGGAGACCAAAATGTTGATCGATTCGATATGACGTATTGCTGCATGGATTACACTGCTATAGTAGGAACCTGTTAGAATGATTTAATATAGTCTATGGATTACAGGAAAGCGAGTTCGATGGACCAAAATATGGGCTTTGTAGTTGAAACGAAGACTTCTTCATCTTTTACAGAATTTGACGAGGAAACCATTCCATTGAATGATGTTTCTGCATTATCTGTAGAGAGGTTAGCGTTCAAATAGTCATTGAGGATCAAAACTAAAAATACCCAGGTTCCATTGTAGTCCTCGCGTTGAGATGATCGCAGAATCAATGCCTACTGGAAGAAGACCGCAAGTGGGTCCTATCAGAGATCTATCGATTTTAATTATATGTTCTCCCTTCTAGCCATGAGCAAAAAGTTCTCTGCTCCAGAAGACTCAACAACACACCTCATCTAAGTACCATCCGATGTTCTCATCGGTTACCACAAAGATCTCCTTGCGAACTTTACGCAATTTATGCAAGTAGGAGACCGTATGAATAGTTTGATCAAACCGACCAGATAGGCCACCAAGAATTACTATGGTGAACTACATCTCCGTCACGAACGGGGTAAAGTGTGATTTACTAGCGCATATACTCACTTGAGCTCGGCCGGGGGTTGCAGCTTCCAGTTGCTCGATGGCTGAGACGCATTTCATTAAGTCGGTAGAGTACTGGTCCGGATCTTTGATAATTGAAACACCCTTTGTCGCCTAAGTCGATATCAAACACTGCGAAGCAGTGAACTCACCAACTGTCTGAAGTGGTCTGCAACATCAGAACGGAGCGAGTCTAGGTCTCCCTTAATAAGGTCTGGAATGAAGCTACTCCCGAGTGAGAGTCAGCCCCAACTACAGTAATCGCCTATATTAAGACGCGCTCACGCGTCAGAATCAAGTCCGGGATTTGCTTGTAAGGTATCGTATAGCCTGTTCGCACCGCCATCAGCACACGCGCGCCATTGGCATACCTTCCATACACGCAAGAGCAAAGGTGACGAGAACGGCTGGTTGAGGATGATCAATGCACGCCGTCCAACCTCGGAGTCCGCACCTTGACCACTGTCTCGCAGAAACGAAGTCGACCAATGGCGAACGGGCATGACAGTTGTTCTGTAAGTACAACAATTGGACGTATTTAGTAGCTTAGCTTATATAATGTCTACATTCTTATCGTGGGAAAGCAGGACAATGCGGCTTGAATCCGTGGGAAACTATGACTCATGCACAGGTCTTGAGAGCCGCAAACGATGCAAAGGTGGTTCAACGCAACTTGACTCCGACGCCCACCGTCGTGGTCTCAGCTCAGCCTTCATCCTCATCTGCAACACTCGTGTCTTTACTTTCGTTACTTTGAAACCGCGCATTTAACCGAACGGCTCGCAATATGATGGCCACGTCGTCTCGCCAGCCTCGCAGTGTTGCGAGCAAGACGCTGAAGGGTGTCGGGCTTATCAAGAGGGATGAGGATGCGAACATGCACGACCTCACAAGGGGTGGCCGAAAAAGAGTCACGAAGAAGGCTCCTTTGGGACATCGCCAACGCTCAGTTGACATTTACAAGGCCGCTGGAGCTCCAGACTCTCACAAAATGGTAAATAATTTCGACCCATTTCAACCGGTGCATGCCCGCTTGCTCGCCGGTCGTGGTGTTTCTCCTCTATCTTAGTTACGTATGCTTACAACATATCTGTCTTCCCCTTCCTTACTTCCCGTCACCTCGGACGTGGTGTGATCTTGTTCTTTCTGTGGTCGGTTGTGTGTACGCTTTGGCCATCGCGAATGGGTACTCAACTGTTTGCTTGCTGGATTTCTGGGTGGAAATAGCTTGCTTCAAGGCTAGCAGCAAATCTTTCAAATCCACTTGCCGTACGTGGTGCGGCACTCAAGCCAGCTAACATGCGCGTTGGACGAGGAGCGGGCCGATCACAAGTTAAGCCACTAGATGTGTGGCGGGAAGTCGTGCAGAAAAGATATAATCCCGAAGCGAGATTCCTAAATCTTGAAGTATGTCACAAGGTTCCCTTTCTCCAATATTGTTTCGGTGTTAATATAAGTCTCAGCGATTGGCCGACGAAGAAATACTCAGAAGGAATAATATTGTTGCACCTGGCAAACCCGGCTCGACGGGCAAGGAGTATCCCGTCTTGTTCAAACTCGCGTCGCAGCTAAAGCCACCCGTCGAGACGATTTCACTGGCAAACAACAATATCACTATGGGTACTCAAATAACCAGCTTGGCCCATTACATTCCCGATCTTCGCAATCTATCTCTTCAAGACAATAAGCTCAGGTCATGGAGGGACTTAGATCAGCTTTCAACGAAGAACCGCAAGCTGGCACAGCTCCGAGAAATAATTTTTATCGGAAACCCCTTGCGTGAGACAGAATTAAGCGCTGGCAGAGCAGAGCAATATAAGAGGTTAGTATACGGCAAGACTTAGTCAAAGGAACGTATTTATCGATCAATTGATTCAGTGGAATGATGCGACGATTCGCAATGCTCGAAGTGCTGGACCAGGAAGCATTAACGAAGATATCATTCGTTGACGGACCCGTTGCGTCATCGTCCAATTCAGATCCTCACGGACAGACGGGTCCCGATTCCTTCGTTCTCAACATGGCCCCTTCATTCATCACTGGTGTTGAAGGCACCGTTATCAGCAGCTTTTTATCACGGTTCGGATGCCTCTTTGTTCATTTTCTCTTTTGCCTAATGTTCAATTTGCAGATTTTTCCCTCTGTTTGATACGCAACGGACTGCCCTCGCAGATGTTTATGACCCAAATGCGACCTTCTCATATTCCGCATATACACAAATTCCTCCGCGGGCTCGTCTTCAAGGTTGGCACACTTCCCCTGCCATGCCCAATCAACGTAAACTAGAATGGGGGCCTTGGTTACACAACCAATCCGGTGGCTCACGCAATTTGGCCTTTCTCTCTAACAACACATCGCACGGGCTTGAACGCGAGTTGCGAAGTCTTCACACCAGTCCAGCGGAGATCGTTAAAGCATTGTTGCATCTTCCTGTCACGCGCCACGACGTATCTGGTGCTGCTGAGAAGTTCTGCATTGATGCATGGCCTGTCGGACAAGGCTCAGCAATGATGTTGTTCCTGTGTGTGCATGGGGAATTTGCTGAAGGTAAAGAAACTTTATATTTACAATTGTAGGCGATAAACATCGACCGACTGCCATTGCTAGAACCTTCACAAGGCGTTCGTTCGTTCGATCGGTCATTTGTACTTGCCCCGTCTCCTGCTGGTTCTAGGTAAGGTTTTTTTCCATCCATTTTTGCGAGATATCTTGACATCAATCTACAGAGCTGCAGCGAATGGATGGACCGTCACAATTCTCTCCGATCAGTTAACTGTTCGCCCTTATTCAAGTCCCGAAGCATGGAAACCCGGCCCGTTGAAGGTGCAGGGAGTTGATCACACGAACCCACGTGCTGCTCCGCAGACCCCACAGAAACGACCACAACAGCTGCGAGCAGATACCCAACGGAAGCTGATGGAACCGGAAGTGCAAGCTATGCTTGGCACTATCGTGAGTGACGATATCCACTACAAACTCTCACTGTATTGCTAACTTTTATCGTTTTCCCTCGACCTACCAGCCTGATTCTCAGCGTCGCCTCGTTGTACAAATATCTCAACGTACGGGACTCAACGTGAAGTTTTCGTACGATTGCTTGGAGAACAACGGATGGGATATTGATCGGGCAGTCGCTAACTTCGAGCAGGTTAAGGTACATATTGCTAGCATCCTTTGCATTTACTAGACAACTCACATGCGATCTGCAGGCGACCCTTGGTCGAGAGGCATATTTCTAATTGGACACTCACCCTATGTATCAGGACCTGATCGTATTTTCTCCCTTTTACTCTCTATTTCCCTTTTTCTCTACAATAACCATCATCGCAATTACAACTCAAATGCATTTTACTCAACTCTTTTATCTGTATTTTTCGTTCGGCATGGTCATGAGGCTGCTATAACCCAGTATTATCCTTTAAAATATATCTCATGTTCTGTTTCCTCAATTGTCCTGTAGAGTTTTGCCCGAGTTTCTCACCTGCATTACAAATGTATGACAGAAATTACCAGCGCACGGATTGTTTGACAGAATCAAGAGCGTACAACTGTATTTCATCATCTATAATTCGTGATCATACATCAGACCTAATCAAAATGATTTCATATTTTAATTATTCCGTTATTCCGTCATGTTCCTTCATAGTTCACGATATGACAAACAATCCCAACCGGAGTATTTCGTTCTCGACCAGCCAGCAATGTGAAGAGATCATCGGGCATCTCGAATGATTCCATGCCGCCTAAGAAGTACACATTGAGGTAAGCCGAACAGATTGTACGGACGAGCCACTCTGGATGGTCGGCTTTGAGGCCAAATTGCTTCGCCCGCTCCTTTTTTATGCATGCCTTCTTCAGGTAAAGCAGGTGATACACAAGAGAATCGACAGATCCGTAGGACTGCCGACAAACTGGGCAGAAGTATGCTTTCGGATAATGGCTCGCTATGTGCTGATGAATCAAATCGGGGTTGTTCCTTACTACCGTACGGCATGTCTGACAGAGGACATACTAAGGAAATAAATTGCGAAATGTGAGTTAGAAAAGGAGTCTCGTGTTCAGCAGTACGATTGCTCTGAGGATACCCACCTCTTTCAACAAGTCGTTTCCGCTTCGTCCCTGTTCGCGATATAAACGTTCAAGAATAGGTAACATGTCATTCCCACAGGGTCCTATCAAAGGTCTTGTATGCCTCTGTTCTTCCATATAAATAATAAATTAAGATCCGGGAAATTTTTCGGACACTTACCTTGCCATTGCGGCATTGTTCTTTGTAGGCCCTGATAACCTCTTGACCAACTCGCCTGGCCGCTTCTTGAAGCCTTCTGAGGATCTCACTTGTACTTGTTGACGGAGTATCTTCTTGTCGTGTCACATCATTCCGTCTCAACGTGGTACCATTTTGAATTGGGACAGCACTATCGTTTTCTCTGTCGCAGGAACGCCATTCTCTGGTATTACATGTCTGAGTCTTTTTCCAGTAAGAATCTTTTGTAAACTGTGGTACTGACCGTCCAGTTTCGCGCATCTTACCCCGAGCCTTCTCCGACATAACAGTGTTGATACCGTCAGTCCCAAGTCCCGCGTGACCGCTGCCCACTTCCTTCGGTCCGACTGTCGTCACGATTCTCGCGTTCACTGCAGTTGCATCCATGTCTGTTCCTGGAGCAATTCCCACAGAAGCCTCATTGGGGCGTGCGGATTTCCTGACTTCATGTAACGTTCTGTTCACATTTCGAAAGTCCGGGTCGTCGGCTATCATAAGCTTCTTTATTTCTATCTGCTTGGAAAGAGTGGTGAACTCCCCAACGGTTTCAAGTGATGCTTGAAAGGCTCTGGAACGCTAAGCAGAACTGTCTCAGCCCTGCGCAGTCCACAAGGAATAAGAATCTCACAGCTTCTGTCCTCTTTAATATAACGTCATTCTCGTGGTACATGATCATTGACCTGTTTGAGTAACGGATACGAGGCATTGCGAACTTGATCTGGAACAAACACGGATTAGAGTACTGGAAACTTTGCCAAAAGGTGAAAAAAAAATTTGAAGAAAGGAAGACTGGTACAAACACGGAGAATTGGACTGTTGCAGCAAATGAGTTTGTTTTCTGTTCATTGAATGGACAACACCAAAAGGGGCCGTTTTCCCCAAAGGTCTCAATATTGTAAGTCAATGAAAAGGCCTCAGATGGACTTCACTTACGGAGGCGAGCGAGCAAATTTGAATATTTCTTTGAATACTGTCGCAGTATTCAGCGACACGCCTACTTTGCAAATGCATTAACGACCGAGATTCTGGACGGGCTGGAAGGACATACCTCGAGTCTGGTCAAAAGCAGGTTAGCCCTATTAACAGGGTCTCTTGCTCAGGAAGACACTGCAATGCCCACGGTCCATTCATACTTATGTGTATCCTCAGTGTAGCCTTACGTAATTGAGTCCCTCATAGCACCAGAAAGTTGAGCAAGCGAGCCGCGAGATCGGCCACTGGTCTAAGAGAATTATGTGCTCGTAGAGGTCAAAGAGCAGTCGTTTTAGGGTGGATAGCGAATAACAAGGTCCAGAAAGCTTTATCCGAAACTTAATCGCGATCTGTGTGGGTTGATTTTCGTGTAAAATGCAGCCAGCCACAAAGTCTGAGTCCCAAGCGGAGTTTTGGATCCGTCTACGAGCAAGCCCGATTGAATCATGACTCGAAGAGCACAGATACTTACGGAAGTTTCCGAAAGGTACCAGTGGCCAGAATATCGAGATCCTCGAAAGAACGAGAGGCGAAGCATGGTAGCTGTTGAGCCAACTACGAGCAAACAAGGCAGCTAGCGAACCTCTTTCCCCCAGAATACAGTCCTCTGTTCACGTCAGGACACGGTTTCGATTTGTCCCGGAAACGCCGCTGAATATCAAGCCATTGCTGAACTGGACCTTGAGCGACTAACGTCTACGATTCTACCAGAGATATAGCCCCTTCGTGGTCCAGAAAATCAGCCCAAAGGTGTGAATTACTGGGGCATTGACCATCATCTTTTTTCCATGCTTCGTTCCGCTGCCGCTATTGAAGAACACGCGTGAAGCCCAGTGTCCACACTGTTATCAATGCCATTGTGCAGTTTCATTCCAAGTAAGATACTACATATCATTAGCAAGTCAAATTGATTCCGATAGTTGGCTTATCTGGTCTTTCTGCGTCAAGACTTTTACCGTATGCCATCTCTGCTTGTTGCCTGCTCAACGAAGCAAGCGGGTGCATGGCTCGCAGAACCCGACCGGACCATCTCTTTGAGGTACTCGAACACGAAAGCACACATCAGTGAAGATCCCGCCGTTGTATGGGGTGGATACCACGCAAAAAATCGACTTTGGACATTGACATTGCACCGGCCGAGTAGCTGGTCGACATGGGAAGCAGTGGTAGAGGATAGGACCAGTGCTTGCACTGTGAACGCGGCGACGCGCGTCGCGTCACACTAACTCTGCTGAGTCAGCAAATGAACGTTCGTCATCGTCTTCCTGGCTTGGCAAGACTCAAAGCGACATGCCTCATCAACGAAATTAAAAGTAACATATCATCCGGGGACAAGTACCGGATTTCTTCCCACTCTTCCAATGCTATCTTATCTACGCAGCTAGGGAAGAGCAGGACCAATGGTCATGACTGACGACTTCAAGAATGATGGCTGTAGTGCTCAGAGTCCCAGGTCAACATTTCGTGCGCCCTGCTTGCGAGACTATGCAGTCTATTCCTAGCAGATCTCTGATATTATTCTGTGCCAGTGAATCCGAGGGACTGAACAAACTTCTGGCATAAAGATACCCCAGACTCGAAGGTATCTACGATGCGTCAAGACCCATTTTGAACCTCATGTCTCTTTGAACCTTGGCTCACGTCCGCAAGTTTCCAGTTGGCCCAATAGGAGCAGTTCAGATAGTGAGGGCCACTTGATCTACCTACGAAAGAAATGGGGTGAAGTATATCCAAGCCACGAAAATGCCGTATTTGGCGGGTTTCGCTTAAAACAGAGATGCCTGGCGTTCTCATGAGTCATTCTTGCTTTATCGCACATTCAACTCTGTATAGTCTAGATCTTTCCGTCTTCTATAAATTCGCGCTCGGCCACGCTTTTCAAGCCCAGATCCTATCGGGTTTGGCTGTGCCCTTACGAATGCCCTACGAGCAAGTTCTGACTGTGGTTCTCGGTGTCATTACAGGCCACAGGCTGCAGAATTCAGGTTCCGTTATTGTGTTGACATCTGGCGCTCCAGACTAGGTGGATTTTTCCCTTTGTCCTTCATTCTGTGTACATTCTTTATATGTATTAATTTGATTCAAACTCAGAGGTTGGAAGTGGCTTTCGAGACAACCTACGACGGAAATTACCGAAGCCACGAAACTGAGCTTTTACGTACATGCTCCTGGAGGTGCATTTAAGAGCGAGCAGAATGTCGCTGAAACCACATCGATTCAAACCTCAAGTTCTGACGAAACGACTCCCTCGCCTTCGTCATACTGATACCCAAGTCCTGCAAAAATTCTAACCAGTATGTCATTCAAAACTTATCCTAGTTGTCTATACTGAATGTATGCATTTCAGCTCTAGTGGCTTTGGACAGCTGAGAACAGGCTCTGACGAGTCCGTGTTTCCCGTAGCAGTCCACGTCCTTCTATAGTCCTACCCATCAATTGTCCATCCATCTCGTTGCATTGACCTGAACAAGGCCATGCCACCAAATAAATTCGAACGGAAATCATTCTTCGATGTGGTACTATGCCCACCTCTAGATGAAGACCTTGAAGTAAGCATTATAAGTTTCCCTTTCTCTAGCCCATGAAGCTGACACGTCGTGTAGATTTCCAGGAAGGCACAAGTTCCCCACAATGAGTGTGGGTCCCCTCATGACGCTGAGGTTCGGCGAGAATCGCAGTCGGTCGCGGCTGGAACGACAACCAGCAACACCGACTACGAAAACGTCAGCGAACCGTCGTGTGCATGTCCCGAATCAACCGACAATGACAGCACCGCGGGCGCAAGAGATGTAGCGAGCGATTTGACAAATCCTTTCCCCCTAAATACCGAAGAAAGCACGCATAATAAAGGAAAGGGGCGTGCACCTGCGAGAACCCGTGCGTATCCACGTAAGCGTGTTTCTGCAGGGAGGAAAGATATGGAGCCGGAGATGGTCGGCTGGGTCAAGCAGAGAGCACTTGATGCTAGAAAAAACGCACTTAAGCGCTATCGACGAATGGTACGCAACTCCGATCTTTGTTGTCCACCCGGCGCATTCCTGACCGTAGAAATCATTGGATTCATACAGGAAGCAAAAAAAATGGCGAGGTGGAAAGGCAAAGAACGGAGTGGGAGCTTTGCCGAAGGAGATAGCAAGAGGGTAGAAGGAGAAACACAAGTACCAGAACAACATAATTTGGTTCGTTGATAAAGAAAATCAGTCATAGAAGTGTTCCATTTACTTACCTTGTATCTCTCTTAGCCAATGGAGAACTGTGTCAGGTGTGGTATAGTGCAAAAGCGGGATCCGCAACAGGTACGACGCCATTACTTGACCCATCTTCCCGATGCATATTTTTGCCCGATATGTGGCAAAACATATGCTCGGGAGGACTCGTTTGCCAACCGTCATTTCGGTGGTAACTCTGGGTGCGTAGATGGCGCCGAAGCCGGGCGGTTCCGCTTCCCGCTATACCAATATAAGTTGAAATATTTCAACCTTTACTACCTGGGCGCAATGGAAGATTATGACATTCCGGATGAAGTCTTCAAAATCGTAGCTCAACGCGAGCGTGACGCTAGTGAGCTCCTTGGCGCGTCGATCGACTCATCTGTCGAATCGGCCCAGCCATCCGTCGGGTGAATTGGCACATGGACTGCATGATGATAACACCTGTATTATTATGAATTCTGTATTTCAATATGTGTAGAAGCATCAATGAAACGAATGAATATCTACCGATGTGCCGCAACAACGTAGTCAATCTTTTTCCGTTTCGGAATTTGCCACCGACACTCTGCCCGGTGTGCTGCTATGTAATATAATTAAGAACAGAATTAAGTCAACTCATTCTTAATTATATTGCACAGCAGCACAAATGTTTGTGTCTGGAAATCAAATGAACGATGTACCTTATGTAATGCACGCGATCTATTTTTGTTTGTTGACGAGTGTGTACCAACAGCCAAACAACGAATCATTGCTGTTCCTCGCTTCTCGTCATGTTTCCTGCTGATAGTCAATGGCGTATAAGTACACGCATGTAGAGTTCCCGAAGATGTTTACTCACCGAAGAATTGGTAGATAAAGTTGCATTGCAGTCGGCTCGATCCCTTCACTTCCCGAGCAAGCTCTTGTAATGGTCCTAAGGATTTGAAGCCGTTAGGGTGAATGTCTTTTAAGAGCGAGCCATCGTGTGCAGCCCAGAAGTGTGCGCAGAGAAAGGGCGAGTACAAGAGCTTTAGTGAATAAATGAGGGTAGCAATGATGTCCTCGTCTGCATGAAACCTAGTGATGCGTCGCGGGTCGTGTGCAAAGACGAAGGCCATTGAATAGTCTAGGAAATTAGAGTGAGGAATAACTTGAATGTGGGCCACACCTACCGGAACAACCGATGTTGATAAAGAGGATGATGGGGTAAGAGGGGAGATGGTTATGTGAAGGCTATTGGAGTTCGTGTTCAAGTGGTTCGGACGACCTTTGTTGAGGGTCCGATGTACGTGGCTATGGTCCTGTCTGCTAGCGAGGAGGGCTATAGTGATGAGTGGAGAGCATTGCGAGTGACAGATATCTCCTGATGGAGGACTTTGTCAGTTAAGTCACAGTTATTGTCGAACGCTGTAGGGAAGTCGCCAAGGCCCTGACTGCAGGCCAAGGGTAGTGCTTAACTGTCAGTAGTCAGTGTTATGTAAGAAGCATACGGGGCCTAGGCGGTGGCAGACAATCGATGAGAAGACACGAAGAACCGGACGACAGACCTATGCTTGAAGGGGGGGGGGGGCGTCGCAGGTTGCGATAGGCCGTATGCGTGAAAGCATCCTGCGAATGGCGATGAACAGGTAAGCGTCCTCAGAGTTCATGTCATAGTCCACGTCACACCAGGACATGAACAGCGAGGGCGCTCACTTGTTCTTAGAAGGGGAGGGTGGACGGGGGCAGGGGGAAAGTTGAGTTGTCCTCGTAGTTCGAGGGAGAGTTGAGTTGCGGAAATCTGATCGCGGCTTGCCTCTTTATACTCTCAGAGCTAGCCACCTGCTACGAATCTGGTGCGGCTTGATTAGCAAATAATAAGACACGCCTACCAAACAAGTGCGCGCGTCTCGCCAGAGTTTTGTTTATTGTTCGTATTTATTTTCTCAAGCTTCTTGCTACATCGTGTCGTCACCACCAGAGTCGGTAGAAAGGGAAGTTTACACACGCCTTCGTTGAACCGCCCAGGTCGTTAATGTTGTACGACGTTTTCGAAGACGACTGGGCGAGAGAAGGCCTTGTCGTGGTGGGCCCTCTCATCCGATAATCGCCCATGATCGTGAAGTTGCAACGAGCCACGCGCTTTGAACAAGAGACACGATAAAATTCGATATTTGTGAACTACAACATTTAATTGACAACATTCTTTTACCAAACGTCAAACGTGCGTCTACCACGTCGAGTACGGCAAGAACTTTCCACTGTCCTAACTTGTCAGCAAAAGCCGGACCACTTGGAGAAAATGGGGGAGAGAGGATGGAGAAGAGAAGATAGGAAACGTACTCGAAGGTGAGGACAACACGGTCCCCTGCAGGATCTTCCTTCTTCTTCACGGTAACATCACAGTTGATCATTGACATGATTCCATCACCAAACTACACACACAATCAACAAGTATAGAGGGTTGGCGAGACGACAATTACGAACCTTCTCATGAATTACTGCCTAAACCGGTCCAGGTCATGTCAGGAAGACGGATTGAACATGTACATCAAGGTCTCACCTTAATGGCATGTCCGTACACTAGAACACCCTAATTTCCGCGTTAGTCAAGTGTTTGCGATTTGTTTCCAGAAAAAACGAACCTCATAAAGCCGATAGATGACTGGATCAGTTGGAGGCGAAGGTCCCACGCCTCTATTAGGCCACCAGTGAGCGCCTAGCCCGTTATGCAGAAGCACTGCAGGAAGCTCGAGGACCTTCGCAAGAGCCTCGATGAGTTCGGGAGTTAGTTTCGCCTAATACATGTACCCGTGAGAAGGCGAACAGCGAATTAGACATCCACATTATTTTGGGTCCAACCCAGGATAGCGAAAGGCACACCTGGCCGTAAAACGCAGCGGCAATCCAAACTTCGTCCTTCCCAACCTCCTTTGCAATTTGTTCAAAGGTTAGACCTACGAAGACGAAATCTCGTGTGAGTATTCTCCTATCATTCATCGGATGACGTTGGTACCTTTTCTAGCCTTGGCTTCCGCGAGCTGAGTGTAAATAGGTGGAAGTTCGGCGAATGGTGAATTTCCTGTAGATGGGACTCGCTATGGAAACAATGAAGACGAATCAGAATGCTAGTCAGGAATGCAGATGAGTTGACCGACTCACTGCAGCCTGCGTCATGGCGAAGGGGGAATGAAGTAATGCTCTTGAAGAGGATTGGCGCTGGGAGTATAACTTGAAGTGTCTCAGGCAACAGAACCGATTACGGTTTATATATCCTCAGTAGTCTGAGAGACCTGCTGACAAGTCTTGTGTGTGGAACCCCTTTGCTTCCGGAACCTAATTCAATGCATTATCTTATCTACCTTCTTTAGGTCACGTTCACATAACGAAACCCACGTTCCCCGTACCCGTCGCAGACCGTCCAAGCTAGAAAATTCAGGACTCGCACATATGGCTTCCAGAGGCGGTTCCATGGGCTAACCCATCGAGCTATTTCACACCACTTTGCAATAACGAACTCACAAATACGGATGCATAATGGTCATTGCTTTTTCTTGTCATTCACGTCGTCGCTACTGGATACTGTCCGGGTCTCTTCCTCTCTCGCCCCAGCCTCTAATTCCGCAGGACTCTTCCATATATCCTTCGTCGCGTGCATCAATTCGTATAATTGTCCAATTTGCTCATTGGACATCTTAGCATTATTGCCCCGTCAATCCCGATACCGAAAGCCGAAAACTCTGAGCGTACCTTTTCGAATACCGTTTGGTCAAGTATCCTGCCCGTCCATCGAGACCGCGCTTCTCTATCCTTCGGTATCTCATCCAAATACATTTTCCATTGAGACAGGAACCCCATGATGTGCAAAGGATTGTCCACTGATCTGTGCCGTCGAAACTCTTTGGACCGTTCGGAAATTTCTCTGAGCACTTAGCGCATTTGGAACATACCTGCTTTCACATAATCGTCCCCAAGCGACCGCATCTCCACAGGCAAGAAACGGTGGGCACGAAGAATACTCCGATACAGTCTGAAAAGGGATGAAGCTGTCAATACCTACAGCACACTGACTCGGGTTCCGAATATAGGCAAGAACACTGACAGAAGTGGAGGAAGCAAAGTTGCACTTGCTTGTCGCAAACTCAAAGGTTTAGATGAGATTGAAGTTGCTAGTCGAAGAGAAGAGACGCGCATTGTAGCACAGTGGGAATCAATATACTGCGTGTGGGTTTTTAAAAATTAAGGACAGGATTCCTCAATGCTGTTGCAGAGTAGCCGACGATGGTCAGGTTATCTCACGAGCACGTGACGCATTTAGCTGTTTGACTTTGTTAACTTTATTTTCCGTTTCGCAAAATCCTCTTGGCGTTGGCGCTGACTAGTACCCGTCGAAGTTCAGTCGGACGCCGCTCAACTCGAAGCGATATCACAAGTGTCGTGGGCCGATAACTTACGCAGAGCCTCCAGTGAAGAGCCCAAACCCTAAGAACTGTTTTAAATACTGTCTGGAGCACTGGCCACAGTAGGCAATTCAGAGGAGTAGAGTTAAATTCCGCAAAGCAGGCTTGATTTGCTGATTGATATTAAACTCCGACGCAAAGTATAATTTATAAAGGCATGTAGGGGAGGTCTCTCCCTGGTCTTGCAATCACAACTATTTACATTTCAGCTTCATTCTTTTAAAGGGGCAAGAGGACATTATATTAAGGATCAATGAGCCAAAGGTTCACGTCTCATGGTAATAAACCTAAAGTCGTCATTACAAGCCCGGAGGAATCAGGAAAGCAGAAAGAACAATTTGAATATAAAGGAGAGACTACCCCGGAAGACCATCAGGAAAATGTCACATTTCTTGTAATTTCTTATAGACCTTGTAAAGTAACATGTGTATTGTATATACATTGTAAAGTAATTGTAAGGTTTGTAAATGAATTGTAACATTTAAATAAAACATATTAATGTAT